AGCTTCGAGGGGTGGATCAAACGCTGGCACAAGTGCATCGCAGCCGACGGGGACTACTTTGAAGGGGACAACTTGAATTTTGAAGAATAAACATGTACTTTTCTTTTTATGAATAAATTCCGGTTATTTTTTGATCATGGTAGTATTCGCTAAATAATCCGCCGCGTCTCGCGTCCCGATCGTAACGAGTAACTTTATATTGCCAAATTTCTTGTATTGAGACTGGGCATAATTTTGACTGGAATTCAGTTAAAATATTAGACATGGAACAGAACTATTATAAACGTCTAACCTCCGAAATGTTACACATTAAAAAACAGGAGAACGGTCTGAATTTGATGAGGGACACTGAATCTTTGCATGATACATACATTCCCATACTTGACAAATTACAAATTTAATATACAGAGGGAGCTGTGTTACTCTTCGAATTCAATCGTTGTTTTTGACTCAGTATCGTTTTTATCGTTGATCAAGTATGTCATGTTCAAGATACTCAATTTATATTGATTGATCAGTTCATATTTATTTGATTTTTGTTATTTTTATTTTCAAATTAACTTAAGGTATGCAAATTGTTTGTATTTATATTGACATCTTTGTATTTAAATTGTTTTATTGATTGTGTTCATTATTTTGTAATAGATTCAATTGATAAGGACTTGAATTATAGTCGAAACGTTTTGAAACATATCTGAGCACATTTATTTAAATGCACATCATCCTGCACTGGCTCTATATAGCCTTAGAATTTTAATATTTTGGAATTTTTGAAAGAGCCTGAGGTCAACGCTTTATTATTTTGCTTTATGTACTTTTCTTTTTATGAATAAATTCCGGTTATTTTTTGATCATGGTAGTATAGATGGTAACGTTATAGAGGGTGGGGATATCGCAGAGCTCATCAACGACGCGATGCGTAAAAGAAAAACAATAAAAGCGCGAGGACGAGATCAGTTTACTGCGCAAAGTAAAAGCGCCATCGTCAATTATAGGAAATCCCAATTTGCTGTCTACTGCTAAGAAATCTTTTAAATTAGCGCTTCCNCAGGGAACTTCAACTCCTTATCCTACCAGATTTTCCCCACGAGTGAAAAGCGGAGACGTTTCTCCTTTATCAGCAGCCGAAAAAATATCAAAGAAAAAACAAGAAATAATCAACTGGAGTGCGTTAGAATGACGGGGCTTGAAAAATTATATTACAATCCCTCGCATTACGCTGGATAGTCTGCAGCGGAGAATCTGGTGCGAGCCTCTAATCCTGCTTTCGATCACCGCTCTGTTGTACGCTGGCTAGAATCGCAAGACGCATATACTTTGCATCGCCCGATACGTCATAAATTTCAACGTTTGCATTATAATGTAACAAATATCGACGATGTATGAGAAGCTGATTTAATCGATCTTCGTAATCTAAAAAATTACAACAACAATTATTCTTACTTATTAACAATTATCGATGTGCTTAGCAACTACGCCTGGGTGCAACCACTGCGCGATAAATCAGCGAACTGTGTTATACGCGCTTTCCAAAATGTATTCTCGAGAAACAAAGGACAGATACCCGTAAATTTACAGACTGATAAAGGCAAAGAATTTGTTGCGCGAACGGTGCAGGAGTTTTTAAAAAACAAAAATATACACTTTCGTGTAGTACGTAATCCCGATGTCAAAGCGGCCGTAATTGAACGTTTTAACAGAACGGTCAAAGAAAAAATGTGGCGGTATTTTACATATAAAAATACACGGTGTTATATTGATATTTTGCAAGATCTTGTACAAGCTTACAATGATACTCGCCATTCTACTACAAAAATGGTGCCTGCTGCTGTTACATTGGAAAACGCTAGTATTGCTCGTAAAAATATGGAGCAGCGATACGCCGAAAAAAATCGTTTTTGGAAAAACCGAGGAATTAAATACGAAGCGGGCGATTATGTACGTGTTAGTAGAGCTAAAGTAGCCTTCGAGAAAGGATATGAAGCAAAGTGGAGCGAAGAGATATTTAAAATTTATCGCGTACTAACGTGACGCAAACCCCCTGTGTATGAATTGTGCGATTTAGCGGATGAAGTTATAGATGGAATTTTTTATGAACAGGAATTAGTTCCGGTTAACAAAAATTTGAGAAAAGAAGTATTTATTGTTGATCGCGTGATAAAAAGTAAAGGTCGCGGTCCTAATAAGCAATTATTAGTTAGCTGGCAAGGCTATCCCTCTAAATTTGACTCTTGGATTCCGGCCACAAGTTTACATTCTCTTCAGCAAGATGAACAAACAATTTCTCATGGTTCTTCCGAGCAATAGTAGTATGCGTTATTTTCCTGATAACACTACCTCTTGCTTTACTACCGAATTACCGAATCGAATAGATTTGCAAAGAAGATGGGAAGTTGCGCTCACTGAGATTCAATTTCCTTCTAGTTTTTTACATTTACGTGCGGATGAATCCCTAATAACAATCGCGAATACTCTTCCTAATGGCGACGTTTCATCAGTTAAAATTCCGATATCGTCAGGGATTTATTCTACAGAAGCCGATCTTATAGAAGCTATTAATCAATCATGCTCTTATGAGAAAGCGCATTTCAAATGGATACTAAATTCGAGGCGTGGTAATAAAGTTACTATAATGCTTACATGTGAAGAAGAGCATTGCAAGCAGATTCATAGTGTAAAGCTTAGCGATAATTTACGGCGTATACTCGGATTTGAGTCAACCTCTGTTAATACAGCTTTCGTAATAGATAGGCGCGCTGGTTCGGAGAGTTCTGAGCAGGTCAGTCTAGTCCGCTGTATCCCCGACAAGTTATTTGTTTATTGCGACATTTGCGAACCATACATAACTGGAGATGTGCTATCGCCGCTTCTTCGAATAGTTTCTAACGATACTCCGAATAATTACAAGTATGGTTCTAATCAACTAAAACATTACTCACCTGGAAATTACATTCCACTTCGTAAAACAAATTTCCGTGTGATAGAAATAGATATAAGAGATCAGCAGGGTGAGCGTATTCCATTCGAATTTGGAACGTTGACGGCGACATTACACTTTAGACGTTTATTTGATTAAAAAGCCATCCGTTAAGACGCAATATCAAGAATATTATGAAGTACAAAGCGGCGGAAGGCTTCCTCGCATTTTTTCTGGTTCGAACTATCAACGTGGACATGGAATCGGGAATTTTCTTGGCGGACTGTTCAGGCGTGTACTTCCTTATTTAGCTAGCGGAGTCCGTGCAATTGGCAAGGAAGCTTTCCGAGCCGGTATTAACATACTTGACGATGTCAGACACAATACACCGTTAAAACAGGCGGTTAAAACTCGCTTTAATGAATCGACCAGTAATCTCAAGAGAAAAGCAGAGGAAAAAATTTCCAATCTAATGAAGGGAACGGGATATAAACCCTCTGCAAAAAGATTAGCGGCACAGTTTCCTCTCACGGGCCTTAACTCACACATCTCTAAATCTTCGAAGCGTAAGCAGTGCTGCACAGCCAAAAAAGTCGGAATACGTAAAAAAAAAACAGCGTTGAAGAGAACAAAAAAAGCGTCAACGAAGAAAAATCATAAGAAGAAAAAACGGAAGATAACTCCCGCTAAAAATAGCCGACGTGTTAACAAGAAGCGCGCAACAGCCGATATATTCTCTTAATTATTGTAAAGTCAATCGGACTCTGCGGTCTAGAACTAAAAGTAAAATAATCATGTCTTTTCTGCACACACATTCGTGCGAGTGTTCAAAGAGCGAGCTTGATCTCTTTTCTTTACCTCCTACACAAACTAGCATTGAAAGCTCGCAATGGATTTATTACAAATCTGTAACTTCTTTCGCAGACGACTTGCCCATAGAATTTGTCGTGCCAGGCGAAGAATATCTAGATCTTACGTACACTCTACTAAGTTTACGCGTAAGCATAGATACGGTGTCAAAACCCGCTGCATCGGGATCAGCAGTCAAAGTAGGCCCCATAAATCATCTGCTACATTCGATGTTCAATCAAATCGACGTATATTTCAATCAAAAACTCGTATCTCCTCCAAACAACGCTTACGCGTATCGCGCATACACAGTTTGTCCGGAAAGTTCCCGGACTGATTTTTTCTAGCGCGGGTAAGCGGCGCTATCGAGCGGTCAACGCTGGAACTACTTAG